AGAGATCTGCAAGTCTCTGTCCCTTAAAGGACTCCTCTTTGAAAGTCACTTGATATTTTCGATCGATTGCCCCATTTTTCTTGAATCTCTTTTCCCCAACCTTCTTGATAGTGTATAATAACTCCTCGTCATTGTGAGATGGTCTGATGTGTACATCAAAAGATTCAGATGATCTCTCAGTTGTTGAGGAAAGATTCGGGTTTTTTGAGGGTCTTATTTCCGTTTTTGGATCAGGACTTCCTTGACCCATTTGATTTATGATTAATTCATTGCGGTTTCCAACTACTGGATATATCTCGTCGAGGTTACCTCTGAATTCTTCAAGGGATATGTCAGTGGATGGGGAGTCACGGTTTCTGGGGGAATAAATTTCCAGGAGGGGTTTGGGGGGGTCTTGTAGAGATTCCATGCAGAAATGCACCAATTTGTGAAATTGCAAGTCCGAGAGATTGCAAAAACCCTCACCACAGATGCAGCAGATATGAGATGGAGGTGGCTATAAATAAAAAAAATTGTTTGTACATACAAGAAAGTACTAAGTTTTTCATATTTGTTTTATTTAAGATGCAAATTTCAACAGATGACTTGATATTTGTTTTATTTAAGATGCAAAATTTCAATAGATGACTTGGGGGGGATAGGGTGATTGGAGATTACGAAGGAATGTTCAGATGCAATAATCATATTGATGCGTTTACTGTACAACTCTTGCATAATTTCTAATGCGTTATTCTTCCAATCCATAATTTATAAAATTTCCTCATTAACTAGAGTCCAATTCATAATTTATATAATGTCATCATTAACTCTAGTCCAATTCAAGTTGTGATTTTTTTTGTCCAATCCATAATTTATCATATGCCATACTCTATAATTATATAACTCGGGTCCAATCCAAGTTGCGATTTTTTTCCAATCCATAATTTATAATATGCCATACTCTATCATCATTAGCTCAAGTCCAATCCACGTTGCGATTTTTTCCAATCCAGAATTTATAATATGCCAGAAACTTTCCCCCATTTCAATCATTCCACAATCTATATCATACCTATAATTAATTATACCCATAATTAATCCCCCATCCCCCCTCTCCGAGTGTCCAATCCTCAATTAAAGGATTCGTTCAGTCCATAATTTACAATATGCAATTCAAAGGTACGGTATGGAAGGACTTACAGAATTTTCCACATCATTTTCCTTATTGCTTTCTGTGCTCTGTGTCCTTCCTTTCTTTTAGGGCGGGGAGAGTGTGGACACACCATCAAGAATCTCGTGTTCTATTTCGTGACCCTCCATGTCAAATTCATTTTGAAATTCCTTTCCACATCGTGGGCAAATACAGGACTGCTCCCACATCTACGATTTCAAAGTTCTGATTCATTAGCATGTTAGATTTTGTGGTGAAGAAATATAGACCTTCATATCTCCATAGGTAACCAGAAAATTGTCCCTTGGACAGAGTACCAAATATATATATTAGGGGGAGGGTATATAATAAAACAACAAAGAAAATGGTTTACCAATTTTTATTGAAAAAACATAAAAATAAAACAAAAACAAAATGTGAGCAAATTATTGCAAATTGCTGAAATAATGGTTCCTTCTTTTCAAAAAAAAATTATTCATTAGCATGTTAGATTTTGTGGTGAAGAAATATAGACCTTCATATCTCCATAGGTAACCAGACAAGAGGCCCAAGGGCCTTAACGGTCACCTGAGTATGATAAAACAATTTCAAGGATGCATAGAGTATAAAATGAACTGAAAGGTGAAGCTTTGTTGCCCAAAAGCAAGAAAAATAGGGTGATCATGATCAACAAAATAATTGGTCTTAATATTCATTAACTGTTCATAAATTAGATTCTAATCTGTTCCCCATTTATCACTATCACTATACAGTATATTAACAAATTATCAATGCCTCTGTACTATTTTAATCCCTTGTTGAAATCTCTTACATTGGCATCTCTTGGTCTTTGATGAATATTTAATAAGAGAAGTTATTTTTGTCTCATTTTTATTTATCTACTACTTACAAGTCTATCTGATCATTAAAACTATGAAAGTACTTTTTGTATTATACAATAAAAGTTTTTGCAAAATTCTCTTATTCTATTTACCTTTCAAGTACATTATTTACAGTGATAAATTATCAAAAGTAAATGGTAAAGGGGAATAACTCCTCTCAGTAGAATACAAACTAATAGAGCCCTGGCCAGGACCAGAACACTTGACCAAATGGTCCAGATGTTCAAAAATCTGGTAAAAATTCCCTTCCTTATAAAAACTTTTACTCTGTTTGCCTCAGATATGCCCAGGTGCGGAGAAGATTTTTAAATAAATAATGCATTTTTACTACAGATTCACTATATTATCAATAGAGCCCCCCCCCCCCCCAAACACCAGATCTTCTGACCCTGGGACCATATGTTTGCTCATCATCACTTTGTTTATCTGCTTAACACTAAGGAGCAAACAGGATTATTTAATAGAATTAATGCATTTTCACTAAATTATCAAGAGCCCCACCCTCACACCAGCACATCTGACCCAGGGGTCATGAAATTCACTCCTCGGGAAGAAGCACACTTGCTCATCATAACTATACACTTAGCTTCTTTGCTTTTTTAACCAGAAGAAGAAAAGAATATTTTCAAAGAAATTTTGCTTTTTCACTTTATAATCAATAGAAGCCCCCCCCCCCCTTCACCAGAACCCTTAAACCTGGGGTCATAAAATTCACAATTTTGGGAAGAGGCATCCTTGTGTATCATAACAATGTACTTTAGCCTGTTTAAGCAATACCCAGGGGCAGAGAAGATTTTCAAAGAAATAATTCACCTTCACTATAGGATCTATATAGCCCCGCCCTAGCACCAGAACTCCTGTCCCCAGGGCCATGAATTTCACAATTTTGGAAGAGGCATCCTTGCTTATCATAACAATGTATTTAGTTTGTTTAAATAATACCCAGGTGCAGAGAAAAAGATTTTTAAAGAATTAAAACATTTTCACTTTATAATCAATAGAGCCCCGCTCTAACACCAGAACCCCTGATCCAGGGGCCATGAATTTCACAATTTTGAAAGAGGCATCCTTGATTATCATAACTATGTATTTAATATGTTTCAATAATACCCAGGAGTAGAAAAGAAGATTTTCAAAGGATTAATGCATTTTCACTATATAATCAATAGAGCCCCACCCTAACACCAGAACCCCTGACCCAAGGGCCATGAAATTCACTATTTTGAAAGAGGCACTCTTGCTCATCATAACTATGTACTTAGTTACTGAATTTAATACCCAGGAGCAGAGAAGAAGATTTTCAAAAGATTAATGCATTTTCACTATATAATCAATAGAGCCCCGCCCTAACACCAGAACCCCTGACCCAGGGGCCATGAATTTCACAATTTTGGAAGAGGCGCTCTTGCTCATCCTAACTGTGTACTTAGTTTATTTAATACCCAGGAGCAGAGAAAAAGATTTTCAATGAATTAATGCATTTTCACTATATAATCAATAGAGCCCCGCCCTAACACCAGAACCCCTGCCCCTGGGGTCATGAATTTCACAATTTTGAAAGAGGCACTCTTACTCATTATAACTATATACTTAGTTAGTTTATTTAATACCCAGGAGCAGAGAAAAAGATTTTCAATGAATTAATGCATTTTCACTATATAATCAATAGAGCCCCACCCTAACACCAGAACCCCTGCCCCTGGGGCCATGAATTTCACAATTTTGGTAGAGGTACTCTTACTCATCATTACTATATACTTAGTTAGTTTATTTAATACCCAGGAGCAGAGAAGAAGATTTCCAAAGAACTAATGCATTTTCACTTTATAATCAATAGAGCCCCGCCCTAACACCAGAACCCCTGCCCCTGGGGCCATGAATTTCACAATTTTGGAAGAGTCACTCTTACTCATCATAACTATATACTTAGTTAGTTTATTTAATACCCAGGAGCAGAGAAGAAGATTTTCAAAGAAATAATGCACTTTCACTATATGATCTATATAGCCCCGCCCTAGCACCAGAACCCCTGACCCTGGGGCCATGAATTTCACAATTTTGGTAGAGAACTCAATGCTTATCACAATGATGCCAACAGTTTGACTGCTTGATGTCCAGGAGTAAAGAAGAAGATTTTTAAAGATTGCATTAATTTTGGTGGTTTTAGCCCCACCTCTCAGGCCCCAGGGGGGCAGGGACCATGAAATTCACAATTTTTGTTCCCCTTCACCCATAGATGCTATATGCCAAATTTAGTTGAAATTGGTTGAGCGGTTTCAGAGAAGAAGCTAAAAATGTTCAAATGTTAACGCACGACGCACGCCGACGGACAAAAACGGATAGCAATAGGTCACCTGAGTGACTCAGGTGACCTAAAAATTGTCCCTTGGACAGAGTACCAAATATATATATTAGGGGGAGGGTATATAATAAAACAACAAAGAAAATGGTTTACCAATTTTTATTGAAAAAACGTAAAAATAAAACAAAAACAAAATGTGAGCAAATTATTGCAAATTGCTGAAATAATGGTTCCCTCTTTTCAAAAAAAAATGTTTTCAAAATCATATCATGTAAAAAAAAATTTTAATTACAAGAATCATTAATTCAACACCTGTCTCGTGTAAAGAAAAATAAATCACAGAAATCATGTAAAAGAAAATATCATCAAAAACATATCAAATGTTTTGTGCAATAAAATGTTTGTTGCAAGGACCAACTGATAATGGTAAAAACACAATAGGTATGTAAAAAAATTTTTAATGACTTCATTCAATAAACTTCTTGCTACATACATTTTTAAGCAAATACATACAATTTGTAAGGATCAGTAATACAACATGTGTCTCATGTAAAAAATATATATATCACAGAATTCATTATATGGAAAAAAAAAATTATCGAGATCATAATAAAAATGTTCATTGCAATAACCAACCGGTAATGTTAAAAACATTACATCTGTAAAATTTAAACCACCTCACTGAACAAACTTTTTGCAATTACTACATTAATACTACATGTGTCTCATGTAAAAAAAATATCACCTTCATTTTCTTAAAAAAAATATCAAGATCATCAAGATGTCATATAGACATACATAGACATACACCTTACTGTCACAAGAGTCCCATGTTCATGACATAGAGCAAATATCAGTAGATATGCAATAAATGAAAGTCAACTAAAGTACCTAGTAGATCATACCGAGTTTGCAAAATTTTGTACCCTCTACTATGATCTTAATCCCGTTTACTGTTTCTCCTCTCTTTTGTTTTGGCTCTGGTCAAGATAGGACTCCTACTAGATTTACTTTTTTGATTCTGTTCCTTGGGAAGGGATGGACTGGCTGCGGAAATTACGGTGGAATCCAATAAGCTTTCCGGCATTTCGTGTTCTGGAGTATGAATGGGTGATGGCGTATAGTCAGGTCCAGGATATCCACTAGTGTGAGTCAGAGTTGTTTGTACAGTTATATCAGACCCCAAATCTAGGCTGCTTGGGATTTCAGGTACAAGAGACTGAATGGGGGATGATGAACGGGGATGGGTGGGGGTTGTTCCAGGGTCTGTTTCATCATCAAAATGAATGAGGTCAGAATCATTGTCTTTGTGCATGGACGGGTTGCTTTCCTCCGGAGGGGGGTGAGGGAAGACTGGCCTTTCTTCTATGTCACGCACTACAGATGGGTTGGATCTGAGTCGTCCAAGTCGACACTTCCTCCAGCAGAAGCAAAGTACGACAACTCCCACCATTGCAAAACCGATGACTACCAGGGATAACTCTGTTTAAAATAAATATATTCTAAATTAGCATATAAATGTGTAATACTACCTACATTTCTTTATAAAGGGGAGAATTATAACACCTCTTTTGAAAAGTATTTAGAGTGCATTCGACACAATTATACATGAGTGATGATGGGATGTAAATAAAACAAGCTATGTCTAATTCTGACACAAGTGTAGAGCTCGTGTGCTCCTAAGTTTTAGCTTGTAAATTCTTTAATTATATATACAATAAAAATAAAATGACCAGGCACTGTATGACCAATGAAATTTTCAAAAAGAGAAAAAACACCTCTAAAACAATTTAGAGAAAATATAAATTTTGTTACTCCTTCATTTTTCTCCATAATATATAGCTTTGAAATATATTATTAATCATATAAAAATAATATTACCTGCTACCTCCAGACCCTCAATATCCCAAAGGATCACTTCATGACTTTGGGTGGTGGAAACTTTAGCTGTAACATCAAACGTGGTGGAAACCTCATCGCTAGTGGTTGTCACTCTGGCAGTAACATCAGAGGTTGTGGAAACTTCAGCGCTAGTGGTCGTTACGGGACTTACTCTGGTAGTAACATCGGAGGTTGTGGAAACTTCGGCACTAGTGGTCGTCACATGACTAACTCTGGAAGTAACATCGGAGGTTGTGGAAACTACGGCGCTAGTGGTTGTCACGGGACTAACTCGGGCAGTAACATCGGAGGTTGTGGAAACTTCAGCGCTAGTGGTTGTCAAGGGACTAACTCGGGCAGTAACATCAGAGGTTGTGGAAACTTCAGCGCTAGTGGTCGTCACAGAACTGCCTGTAAAGAAAATACATTGGTTAGAACTGACATTTATGTTTTATTTTTTTTTTTTTGAAGTGTAAACAAACAGTTTAGTAGTTCAAATACACCATGGGGAGCGATTCGTGCATTGTACATTATTGATATAATACAGCTACAGGATTATTTCACCACACTGGTCTGCAAGTTACAACAGTTTGGAATTTTTTTTTTTGTATTTTGAGATTGTCCCCCCCCCCCTTCAAGTGGTTTTAACTCTCCGTGTTTGCCGAAATCGAGAAAGGAATGTGACAAGTTAGTTTAGGTGATTGTCATTAAAAAAATAAATACGATCATCACAAGCGCTAAAAATAAGGATATTTTGACTGCTCGTGTCTTTGCGATTTTTTTTTTTATCTTCATCACTGGACAATCATATCTTACTTTTGAGACCTACCCTTCTAGAATACAAGCAATTTAATACAGAAAGTCAACTCCATGCCAGTTTAAAGTTTAAACAATGACAAACCTATTCGATCGCCAGTTTTGATTAAAGAATAAAGGAACCAAAAGACTTGATTGACTCGTAATTACTAACAATGTCAGCTGACATGCGAAAAATACTAAAAAAAAAAAGTACTTACCACACAAACCCGGGCGGCATCTCCTTGTGTTTGTCGTCATCTCTATTTTAAAAACATAGGAGATCTCGCATAACTGAAATTGGGTTTCTCGTTGTACTCTTAGCACCACGGGGATGGACGATGGGTTTCTAACTCCCTGATCCCCCCGAACCCAAAGTTCGCTACATGGGGGGAACATCTTAGGCACAGTTATTATGGACGATATGTCCTCTCTACAATCCAAAAACGTCTGTTTCTGTACACAGGGCAAAATGCTCCGAGAAAATGAGATAACTAAAAATATGACACTCCACTTGACTGCCATCCTGAACGCCATGCACGGTAGTGATCCCCGGATGAAGTCCGTGCAACTTTCCCGCTACCGCGAAAAACGTTGGAAGGGTGCGGATCCGATCTTATATTTTAGGATTATTGTCTTTTTTTAGCTTATTGAAGTGTATGCGTACAGCAGTAAAAAAAGTAAACAATTATAAACAGAAATGATCATATTAAGGCTCTCTCCGAGCGCTTTTACAAAAAATTTTAAATTTTATTTTTGTTTCATTCAATTATTTTAAAAAGTTACATGACAATAATTTTATGTTTGTTTAATTGAATTATATTTCATAATTTTTTTTCTCTGTCTTAGAGGGCAGAGAGTTTTAAAGTAAAATCACTACGTTTCATGAATTTACAGTAATACATTTATGAAAACCGGTCAGGGTGTCCCAGTTATGCAAAAAGTATATGTCAAGTTATACAGAAATATATGTATAACCTTGGGCTAAACAACCTCGATGTCCTATATATGTAACAAGTATTGTAGAGACCTAATTTTTTTTATTGGACGAGTTTGAAATTGGAGGGAAAATTGAAATGCGAACAAACACTATAAAAAGACACGTTTCCTCCCCTCTACCTCCTTCTTCTCTTGGAAGCTTCTATAACTACTTGTTTAGCTACATTTTATTACCATTTATTTTTGTGGAATTCCAGAATGGATCAAATGAACAAGTGAGTTTTCTCAGTTTATAATTAAAAACAAATAAAGGGGGGGGGGTTATAAAGATCCTAATTATATATATTTTCAAATTAATCTCGTTAATTTTAATACCCGTAATCAAGTTAAAACAAGGTTTTTATTTTCATTTATTTTCAAAACATTTAGACAAGTTGTTACCGCAAAAGTTCACGAACCGGTTTTGGACTCCCCCCTTCTGACGGAAAGTCAGATGGATAATCTGATGAGGGAGATAGATGGGTCTCTCTTCGGGGAAATGCAAGACATTGACCCGAATAAACCATCGGTTAGGAGAGAACTGTTTCCGTGTGAGGAGCCACCAGTGGCTATTTCTTTGCCGGAATCAGAGTACGTATAAAGTAGATACAAGTATAAAAAAGAATGATTTTTTTTTTATTGAAAATAACTGGATGTCTGTATGTCCTGTTTATTTTTTTTTTCAATTCCTAGAGAGGATGCACAATCCATCGGATGGTTGGATAACATCGAGCTGCAGTCAGTCTCCGAGGCCTCAAATGACGCCGGGGATGTAATAGTCATTTCCGACGACAGCTCGGATGATGATAAGTTGGGCGTCTCAATGCCCGACCACAGGTGTGCATTTTGACGTTTCAATAGATGATATATTCTTTTACATACGGTATTAAGAGTTGAAATTTTATCAGCATATTTATCTTTTTTTCAGACAGATATTACTAAATTATGAAGAGGACCTCATTCAAAAAAAAATCCAAATTAAAAAAGAGATTAAAAAACTGAAAAAAAAGACTCGCCAAAGTGAACGAGGAGCTCGAGGGAGTGCAGTTCACCCTGCATTCTCTCTACTCCGACAAGTGAGGATACATGAATAACAAAAATAATCATTTTTGACACTTTTTCTCCTGATTCTGTATTACTAATTAATCGAGTACTTGATGCGTTTTTTGGGTGAAACATATATCCAGGGAGCAATTACACCGCTGGGACATTGTATGTGCCTGTGATTAGAAATATCTCTTCGTTGTGTTATTATTAGTTATTAGTTTTCTCATTTCGTGGATATAGCTGATGAAATTTTTTCCCGCAATTATCTTACTGAGGACAATGTGCGGGTGTGATTTAACATATCTTTAAGCTGTGTAAATATATGTTTTACAGTGAAGTTGTTTTCACTAGGGATTTTTCTGCAACATAAATATTTATGCTGGATTTTTTTTTCTCATCAATAGGTACGTACCTCTTATGAATAAAAAAGAAACATTGATACATTTTCTTTTTTGTCAGATGTTATTTATACAATCATTTGTTATGCCATTTTTTTATCTGGATCCGTGCAAGTCAGTCGTGCTAGGGTGTGTGTGTGTGTGTGTGAGGGTGTGTGAGAGAGGGTGTGTGTCTACCCGTGATGTTTTATTGATTATGAAATCAGATCATTGTATTTGTCACCTCGATCTTGCATAGAGAGGGTATTTGTAGACAGTTTGCCTGTTGCCCAATCTATTCAGTGTTCTGAATATTGTTTAAATCAAATAAAAAAAATTTTAATTTCTTACCACTTTAATTGTGTTTCTTTTTCCAAAAGTATGATATGTTCTCTCATCTAAAAACCTCAATCCTCTTGAAACAACTTATCAACAATTCTTTTTTATTTGAATACAGAATATGTGGATTTTCCGAATGGTTTTTTCCACCGGATTTTCCAAGGGGGATTCCCCTTCATCATGACGTCACCTCTCATTCATATGCATTAGAGAAGAATGACGTCATCTCATTATGCCAATATTCTTATAATGACGTCATCACATCTCATTAATATGTGCATATCATTATGCAAATGTAAATTCAAAGAGCACCGGATTTTCCAAGGGGGATTCCCCTTCATCATGACGTCACCTCTCATTCATATGCATTAGAGAAGAATGACGTCATCTCATTATGCCAATATTCTTATTATGACGTCATCACATCTCATTAATATGTGCATATCATTATGCAAATGTAAATCCAAAGAGCACCGGATTTTCCAAGGGGGATTCCCCTTCATCATGACGTCACCTCTCATTCATATGCATTAGAGAAGAATGACGTCATCTCATTATGCCAATATTCTTATGACAACATCACATCTCAATAATATGTGCATATCATTATGCAAATGTAAATCCAAAGAGCTGTATATGCAGCATGAATATTTAAATCGTTGTGTTGAACCTAACAAATTATTCCGAGTCGCTGTATGGTCTGAACTTATCCATTCAGAAACCCACAGATTGGGATTGCTCTTAACCAGTGTGTGTTATGGCCTTGATGCAAGGTCATTTGGTCGAGTCAAGGTCACTGACAGAGAAACTGTTATTTCGCTACCGTATTTGTAGTAGAAAAACATTGCTGGTATCATGCAGTGTGACATGGCCTTGACTCAAGTTCAAGGTCACTAAGGATAAGATGATTTGAATGTATGTATGGACTAAAAGAACATGACGTGTCACTGTGAACTTTTCAAGTCGGTAACACACAGATTGGGTTTTATGACTTGACACAAGGTCATTTGGAATGTTCAAGGTCACGTAAATTCCTTTACAGTTTTTCCTAGCGAAATATATTAAGTTACAAGATTGCTTACGTAGAATGTGGCATGACCCTGATTCAAGGTCACTTCTTCCTTCCGCAGCTCCAACGGAAGACCTATTCGTTGCTTTGCAACGAGTTCGCTCTAGTTTTTATTTGAATTGGAAGATTCTGCAAGTTTCGATAAAATGGCTATGCAAAGAAATAAAAGGGGGGGGGGACGAGTGTCGTTGTCTCTAACTTTAATACGAGTAAAAAAAAAATAATTAAATCCTGTCTGGAAAATCAAACAAATATTTTGAACAATGTTTTATATTTAAATTTCATAACAAAGTACAAGTTATGATAATAAATTAAGTTTGTAACAGTCAACATAAAAGAATTATTTAAACAAAATAAACAGGATTAAATCACCATAAAAAATACTTGAATTCAGCTTACGGATAGTTGCATAAATATTATGGGGATATATATGGCAAATTTTGTTACATACACCGTGTAAATATTCATCTTCAAAATCACGTCTTTTCTGCTCGTAATCGCAAGTGCGCTGCGGGGAAAAGGATAACGGCATCAAATAGTAACATGTAATGCTACTATTACGTCACAGACAGCGCAAGGGGCAAAGAGTTAAGGCGAAAGATCAGAAGGAGTGAAGATCAGAAATCGATAATATAATTCTAAGGAAATCAAAACTCAGCTTGCAAGGGTCATTGCATTGTTCATTTCAATTTCCTATCTGTTGTATGGGCTGTACAGTCATTTGTAAAGATGTGCTTCTACTAAAATTTGCTTTTACTATGTGAAAGATGATGTGATCGGAAACATTGTCACTAAAGTCAGTGATTTGATTTAAATTTTTTCGAAGCAGATGGCAATGATATTAAGATCAAACCCTGATTATCATAGTTTATTTTGATTTTTAATACATAATTATATTGTGACGAAGGCCAACTTGGTTCTTATATAAATTAAGGCATATCAGAAACACAAGCAAGCACTGCACACTGTTCAAAATAAAGTATATAAAGAGAAGACAAAAACAAACTGCAATATTTAGTAATCCCCCCTTTTAAATTGTTCAGTAAATTTACCCATTCTTTCTGCCCTCATGTTTTTTCTCAAACCCTAATATTTATGTGAATCATACATATATAACTTGCAGTAATTGATATATACATTTTATGATATAAAAAATTTTGTTTTACAGTGTAAAAAGTTTCCCAGAAGATGTCCCAGTTGTTATTTATGAGGATCACGTAAAAGTGATGGTGTGCAAAAATTGTGGATTTGCCTTTCCAACAAAAACAGTGGACACCGACATTTTGATCTTGAGAGGGGAGAAATCACGCAAGGGGAGCAATACCCATAAAATTCTATACAGAATGAGGAGAAGTCACGCTAGAGGAGTAATACCCATAAAATGATATAGAGAATGGGAAATCACGCTAGGGGAGTAATACCCATAAAAGTCTATACAGAATGAGGAGAGA